CTTCTTCCACAAATGACATTTAGACGCTGAACTCCAGACGTCTTTCCAACAAGGTGCTCTCACAATATTGTCCAACGCGTAGGAAAAGGTCAAACGCCATATTCTCTCAGCTCACTCTTACACTACCATTGATTTTTAAAGAATGGCTCCACACCAAGCACAATTACATGCGCTCCTCCCTCCTGGTTTAAGTGCTGTTCGCTTTCTGAAGTCAATCCACTGTTTAGAGCAGCTGGCTTTATATTCCAGACTGCAACTATGTTTTTTTCATTATCACAGCTGGAAGATATCTTCCCCTCAGCCTCAAATATGAAAGCAACCTTAAGGTTGATAAAAAGAGGGGAGCGTCTCTTGTGCAGCGCTTACACAATGGGAGCAACACAAAGCAGAACATCATCCAGGCAAAACAGCCGATTTGTTTTGACGGTGTTTTCTATTATCTAAACAAGAAAGACTTCGAAAAATTGTAGCAATAAAAAAGTCGGCCCCTCGCCGAAGATTGTTAAAAGTTACGTAGTGGACGTGGAAGGCTGTTGTGTGTCACCCTCAGCTGCTTAATGATGGGCTGCATGGGTTCAGGAGATATTGAAACTGTTGTTTATATCTGCAGGTATACGTCAGGTTCATATCTCAGACCTCACAAACAATATTGCTGGTTATTTATGTTCAAGGACATTATAGGAGACTGTCAGAAAGTATCCACAGTGTGAGCGCAACAATTTTGCCACATCACAGGCAAATTCAGATTATTGGATTTTTTTTCACAGATAGGGGAATTAACTCCTCATTGATATAATACCAATGACTGCCTTTATTTTAAGGCCTCTCTATGAATATTTAAAAGCTTCTCTAGTATTTTGGGATTCGTTGATCCTTCCCTGCAGATGGCATATCAAAACACGCCTGCCCCACAATTAAAAGAAGATAAGGAGCTCAGCAGAGGCACTCAATGTCAAGCTCAGAAGTACAGTGCTTGAGGTCAGATAACACAGATCAGAGCTTTTACTAGAGGCACCTACACAAAGGTCTGATGACAGCATGTTGTAGTCGTAGTAGAAACAGGACAGAGATTACACCGTGCTCTCGGTAGGCTCAGATCAGACAGATTGAGCGGGGGTTGGACGGTTCCACAGTCACTTAAGAGAGCGACACACTTGGACGAGCTCCCTTCACTGGGCATTAAACACAATTAAGAGAAGGCATTGTAACGCTCCCCACCTGGGCTCTTAAACCTCCTGGTGCTCCCCCTCACTAGCTGTAAATCCGCTCTATGTTTCTGCCCTCTTAAACTCACTATTCGTCCTCTGCTTCCTTGAATGCCTCCTCACTCTCTGTAATCTGGCCTTCTGAATGGTACGCGTGCGATCCTGTATATTAGCCGCTCTGCATAAGGACACGACCTTTTCCAACATTTTCAATTGACATTTTTATTCTCCCGTTTTTAATCAGGGAAGAATAAAGGGCCAGTTGCCTCTGAATTATTTAGATTATGAATGACCGAAAGTCTTTTGAGCACTGATGTACCTTTCCTTCACTCTATCAGAAGTGATCATGCTGATGCTTGTTGGTCTGTTCGCAGCAACCTTGTCAACCTTGACAGCAGAAAGACTTTGTTTATGCGAGCACTCACTTCAGGCTTTCACACAACTCCCCCGCAGTCAATCAGTTGTGGAATTCGGCTTTCAAGTATCTTTGAGGAATTTATGCACAATCATTCTTTCGCTTTGTCCTCACTTCTAATTGCTCGTAGTCATTTCCCAGGCTTTGTGAGACCAGGTGTATCATTCATTCAGCAGAATATGCTGATGTCTGTATACGTTCTGAGGAGTTTCTGTGGAGGTCACAGCTTGTACATATCACAGGTCAGTGAGAGTAGGACGGGGCTCATTTGGTATCTGAGAACAGAATTCTTAGGCTCGGTTTACGTATTTACAGATCCTATAGGACTCATTAGACCTGAGGTATCGGTCCTCACTTCACGAGGTCTGCAGCTGCGATCCCAAAGTTGCACATCAGTTATACGTCATCACCTAACATCGCCGAGAGCGACTTTGAGTACACTGCACCGACTAATTTGTTTCCAGTCACTTTGTTGATCAACACTTGTGTGCATTTGTCTAACTGGAGCTACACTTGTTTGCTAGGGAAGTGCTGATAGTGCAGCAAATTTTCAGGTTTGTTATTAGCTGACAGTTAAACTTTGTCAGCTGCTGCAGATTATCTCTCCATGTGGCTGATTAATTATTTAATAGTAAAATAAGAGGAAGCAGTTTGCAGCAGACACATATCTTAATTTCTTCTTGATCACGACTGCTTCTGTATACTGTGAAATACTTTTGTGGGGCAAAAAAGTATTTAGTCAGCCACCGATTGTGCAAGTTCCCCCTCCTAAAATGATGACAGAGGTCAGTAATTTGCACCAGAGGTACACTTCAACTGTGAGAGACAGAATGTGAAAAAAAAAAAATCCATGAATCCACATGGTAGGATTTGTAAAGAATTTATTGGTAAATCAGGGTGGAAAATAAGTATTTGGTCAATAACAAAAATACAACTCAATACTTTGTAACATAACCTTTGTTGGCAATAACAGAGGTCAAACATTTACTATAGGTCTTTACCAGGTTTGCACACACAGTAGCTGGTATTTTGGCCCATTCCTCCATGCAGATCTTCTCGAGAGCAGTGATGTTTTGGGGCTGTCGCCGAGCAACACGGACTTTCAACTCCCGCCACAGATTTTCTATGGGGTTGAGGTCTGGAGACTGGCTAGGCCACTCCGGGACTTTCAAATGCTTCTTACGGAGCCACTCCTTTGTTGCCCGGGCGGTGTGTTTTGGATCATTGTCATGTTGGAAGACCCAGCCTCGTTTCATCTTCAAAGTTCTCACTGATGGAAGGAGGTTTTGGCTCAAAATCTCACGATACATGGCCCCATTCATTCTGTCCTTAACACGGATCAGTCGTCCTGTCCCCTTGGCAGAAAAACAGCCCCATAGCATGATGTTTCCACCCCCATGCTTCACAGTAGGTATGGTGTTCTTGGGATGCAACTCAGTATTCTTCTTCCTCCAAATACGACGAGTTGAGTTTATACCAAAAAGTTCCACTTTGGTTTCATCTGACCACATGACATTCTCCCAATCCTCTGCTGTATCATCCATGTGCTCTCTGGCAAACTTCAGACGGGCCTGGACATGCACTGGCTTCAGCAGCGGAACACGTCTGGCACTGCGGGATTTGATTCCCTGCCGTTGTAGTGTGTTACTGATGGTGACCTTTGTTACTTTGGTCCCAGCTCTCTGCAGGTCATTCACCAGGTCCCCCCGTGTGGTTCTGGGATCTTTGCTCACCGTTCTCATGATCATTTTGACCCCACGGGATGAGATCTTGCGTGGAGCCCCAGATCGAGGGAGATTATCAGTGGTCTTGTATGTCTTCCATTTTCTGATGATTGCTCCCACAGTTGATTTTTTCACACCAAGCTGCTTGCCTATTGTAGATTCACTCTTCCCAGTCTGGTGCAGGTCTACAATACTTTTCCTGGTGTCCTTCGAAAGCTCTTTGGTCTTGGCCATGGCGGAGTTTGGAGTCTGACTGTTTGAGGCTGTGGACAGGTGTCTTTTATACAGATGATGAGTTCAAACAGGTGCCATTCATACAGGTAACGAGTGGGGGACAGAAAAGCTTCTTACAGAAGACGTTACAGGTCTGTGAGAGCCAGAGTTTTTCCTTGTTTGAGGCAAGGCAAGTTTATTTGTATAGCACAATTCAACAACAAGGCGATTCAAAGTGCTTTACAGAGACATTAGAAACAAGAACAAATAAAAAGCATGATTTAAAATTGAGGTGACCAAATACTTATTTTCCACCCTGATTTACCAATAAATTCTTTACAAATCCTACCATGTGAATTCATGGATTTTTTTTTCACATTCTGCCTCTCACAGTTGAAGTGTACCTCTGGTGCAAATTACTGACCTCTGTCATCATTTTAAGTGGGGGAACTTGCACAATCGGTGGCTGACCTAAATACTTTTTTGCCCCACTGTAAATGTGCTCCTCCATGTCTGTTTGTTTGCATGCACTGCAGGTTTGTTGTACATATTGCTGACAGGCATTAAAGCTTTCTGGTGCAGTGGTGCAAAGATGAGAAGAGAAGAGGGCAGCGGTGTTAATAGAAAGGAGGAAAGAGTAACGGTGCAATCATTTACCCTGGTTTGTTTGCATATTTTAGCTCTCTTTGCTTTTCATATATATTGCCATATATATGTTCTATTGATTTTTATGCTCTTAGGTCTCCATAAAAATGTGACTCTCTAAGCGGTGACCATGTACTGCTCTGATCTTTGATAGGAGGCCTCGCACATCAGCAGGCGTGACAGTCTAAGCTTTCCATTAACACTTTATTGCATTAATGGATTCTGCAGGTCACACACACACATAGCAGGAGCCTGGCGGGGTGACAGGGTGAGATTAGGGAATTGCTCCCTCTAGGTGAAACTCAACTCTACTGCAAGCAGATTTCATAAAGCTGGGAAGTTTTCATTACAGCGATTGGCAGTAATTACATGTCTGTTTGTTCTGGATTTAATGAAATCAGCTCGAACGTGCAAAACCAGCATGGCCCGACCCCAGTTTTTGCTCTAATCACTGGCAGAGCGTTATTGGCTTATTGTAGTTGTAATTGGTGTAAAGTCTCTCGTTTTTTGACCAGTGTTTGGAGATGTATGATTGTGTGGGCAGTTCCTCAGGCTGCTGGAGGGGAAATTGAGACTGTCGCACTGGGACTTTTGAGGTGGGGATGGCTTTTAATTTAAAGCTAACCTTACTCTTTGAATTACTGTTATTGTTCGGCAGGTCTCGCATTAAACCAACGCAGCCAGTGGAGAGCTAAAGATGAATTTGAATGCTAATCATTTCTGCAGCTTACCCTGAAAAGGTTGTGCCTGTCTGTTTGTTTTCTCACCTTGTCGTCTGTCTTATCTTTTGCCTTGCAGTTATGTGGCTGCGGGCTGCTCGGTGTGGGCATCTGGCTCTCGGTGTCTCAGGGAAGCTTCGCCACCTTCTCACCCTCATTCCCTTCACTGTCAGCTGCCAATATGGTCATTGCCATCGGCGCCATCGTCATGGTAACAGGCTTTCTCGGTTGCCTGGGTGCCATCAAGGAGAACAAGTGCCTGCTTCTGAGCGTGAGTTAAATCCGGATACCTACAAAAATATTTTTTAAAAGTCACACATCTGTCAACAGCACAAATGTGCACATTGTAGTTCTTAATTTCTCTCACTCGAGCATTTTATGACTGAAATTCATTTGTAGAGTTGACCGCTTGCAATCAGTTGTATTCAAAAGTTTTGGCACCCCTGGGGAAGCTGCATATTTTATCGGTAAATACAACCCTTGCAGCAATGAAATATTAAGATGAGCTTTTCATGAATGTATAAAATTGATAGAAATCGTGGCAGCGGGCCAAAGTTTGTGCAAACTTATAGTAGCAGCCCTAATTTCATAGCTTGGAAATGTTTTTAATGGACCACTAAGAGTCATAGTTATTTGTCAGAGATGAGAAACGGAAAAAAGCAATGCCATAACATTTTGAGAACTGCTCGTATTTTGTGTCTTTTTGCTGCAAGGCTTGTCTGCACTGTCACACGCAAACTGCAAGCAAGTGTCTATACTCAAAGGCACACTGGTCACAGGCCACCAGGAGCTTTTTTTGTATTTGTCCTATTACCAGACCCTCGGGAGAGCTAGGTGACTGGGGCTACTTCAGTAATTCAGTCTGCCCTCTATCGAACCTCAAGAGTGCACAAAGGAAAATTAGAGCTGAGCAATAGGATTCCCCCTTTCTGCAAATTAATACCAACTAATGCATGTCATTGCCATGGCTCTGGTCAAAGCCCAGTGAAAGGAATTTCAGGCGGGGGAATTAGTATTTGCATAGAGCACACCAAAAGCCACTTGATGTTTTTGAAGCTCAAGATTTGAGAATGTTCTATTATTCATTACAAAGACTGTTCTGTCTTGACGTTGCACTGTTTGCCCAAAGTTGTACAAGTGTGTTATCTTAAGCACAAGTTAATTATGAGAGTTCACCCAACAGAATGAGGTTTGCAGGGATCTGCTGCAGAAAGGCAAAGAAAAAAAAACTTTCATGTATAGAAACTTTAAATGAGAAGTGGAGTTGGGGCTCTGAGTACTTAACATCACAAACAGCTCAATCCCTTGAAGCTCTTGCATCAGTCAAAAGCCCCACCAAATCCTCAGCGTTAGACATGGCTTCCTTCACCTGCCTAACAACTGTGAAGCAGGAGGAGAGAGCAGAGCGCAAAGACAGAGCGGAGCGGTGTGAAAGATGGCTGGAATTAGAGAAAAAAAATCGGAGTCAACGGAAAATATCAAAGTTTTGATGTTTCTCACCGAGTCTCCTGCCACATCTGTGCGTGACAGCCTTTTATATTTGGCCAGAATAATTCTGTTTAGGGCATCCATGTCTGCTGTCGTTGTGTTTGTCTTTGTCTGTCTGTCCAGTCGAGCACATCCAAACATTTGGGGAGGTAGTGGTGGTGGTGGTGTGGGCTCAGGACGGGGAAACATCAAGAGTAGGTTTAGATCTCCCAGCGCAAATAGATCTGAGTGTTTACCTTGACATATTTTCTTTGAAGTTGGTCTGCGTGCAGCTCTCTTTGGATTAGAAATATTCAAAGACCGGACATCCTTTGCAGCGATATTGCAGTGCACCTTTTCTGCCAAATAGTTTTATTGAGACATTTTTTAAAGAAACAAAACAAGGTGAGACAACAGTGCGATTGCTGGCAAATGAGAGCATGCACCCACAGAGCTGAGTGTGCAAATAAACACAGAAGCACATGCTCTCACACATGGCCGCTGAAGCACCACCAATTTGCTTTGCAGAAACAGTTCATTTGATTGCAAATGCCAGGAAAAGTATGACAAGTTAACTGCGGGTGAACAACAATCATTCTGTGGGCTGCAAAGCCATATGCAGCAGCAAACCGTTGTAACTATGTCGTGTGAGCCGTGACATAAATAATAGCTCGCACCCTCCCTCCCAGATGAGTTTGGAATTAATGGGTTTTTCAAAAATCTAGGTTTGCATGCCTCCTCCCGTGCTGTGCAGAAGAGCTTGGTAAATACCGTGCTGTAATGGAGTCAAGTAGAGAGAGTAGTAGATGAGATGCAAGGCTGTGCTAGAAATTAATCTTAGGAAGTATTAAACCTTTTATACTCCCCTCAAACATTCACAAGCCCTCCAGCACCGAGATTCTCCTTTTTTCCTCCCACCATCACTCCCACCTCTTCCTTCATGTCTCTTTTTCTAATTTCCTTCTCCCTTTTTAAATTTGCTTTGTTTATGTTTATGGATTTCTTTTTTTTTTTTTGTCTTGAGAAATGTTGGTTTCTGTGTGTGCTGCTTCCAAATGAAACCATTAACTGAAACCTGGAACGTTTTTGGGGGAAATTTACTCATTTGTTTTATTGTCAAGAGCAAAAATGAGAAGATTAATCTAGCTGGTAAATATAAAGCTGCTGCCAGAAACTGTCCAGCCAAGCTGAACAGTATAAATGGAGGGGTCAGTAGGTAACGCCAGCTAGCTTTATTTAGGGCTGGTTTTACAGTCATGTGAAGTGATTCGCTGGGTCATAGCTGGGCAATTAACCTTAAAATACTACAGCTTTATTTTTTATTTGGTTTTTCCTTGATGATGATTCATGTGTTAATTATTGGGTTTTAAGAGATGCCAGCTGGCAGATAAAGCCAGGCTCTAGTTTTTTGTGTCTTTTTGTTTCAGTCTGAGCTAAACTAATTGACTGCTAGCTCATCTCATTTAACCCTTGCCTTATGTTTCACAAGATGTCAAACAATTGCTTTAACCCAAATTAAAAGATCATTAGATGATCCGTGTATCTCCGTGAGTCACACAATACATTTGAGTTTGGAGTATAAATAAATGCGCTTTAAATCACAGATGCAAGTCTTACTGTGAAGTTTGTGAAATACTCAGATAAAACAGCACTTAACTGCAAAAGAAGATTAGCTGTTCAGAGTTTTGTTCACAAATTCAATTTACAATATTGCCTGTGCTGCTGTTGTAACAGTGCTCTTCCTCTTTCTGGCAGTTCTTCATTGTCCTGCTGATAATTCTTCTGGCGGAGGTGATTTTGCTCATCCTGTTCTTTGTGTACACAGATAAGGTAAGTTGTTATGTGTTGTGTCCGAATTTTGTTTTTTATCATTCCAGCTGAAGACATTAAAAGAAAGCTCTCTCACACACAGATGATCACAGACAAATGCAGAAAGCAATAAACGGTGTTAGTGTGATAAGCATACCTAGATTCCAGTTGCTTCCGGGTATCAGAGTTTTCTGTTTTTATATTTGGTTGTTTCTCTGTCAGAAGCTTGAGTGTCTTCACCCCACCATTAACACAGCAGTCAAAGGTTAGGCCACAAAATTCAACTCAATCCCCAACAGTTGGCTCCCCCTAATTAGTTCCAGGAATATTTCCCATGACCCCTTGAATGAGGTTAAATCAGGTGAATGTGTGGGGTAACAGCAGATGCCTACATGCAAAGCTCTGGATATTACCGATGCTGAATTCGTCTTCGTCTTTAATCTGATCCAACCACAAATGTTTCATCCCGAAGAAGACAAGTGTCTTGTGCAGGACGAGCGATGAAGACTTCTCTGTTTTCAAGGACATGTCGTTGATAGATCCGTCTATTTATATATTTGCTCTCTTATGTCACACGGCCCTCGGGACATCAGCTAATTCTGCCTCTTTGTTCTGAGGTTATTGCTCAAACCTAGTCTCTCAGGCAGATAAAGGAATTCATTTAGCAGCCAATCCATTCTCAGATTCAGATCGGGTCTCGCAGGCACACCCTGTCAGGAGTAAATATGTCTGTTGCCTTATCATCAAAATATTACCGGCTTAACCGTGATCCCTCCGGCGGAATTTAAATAGAAAGCCTCTTGACTTCACAGCAGTGCCTTTCCCATCACCTGTGAAGTCAGTAAAAGATAGCCCAGTAGTGCTGAGGATTTCCTAAATGAGAAATCAGTTGAGTCTGCATTAGCAAAGCATGGGGCATTACCCGGGGAAAACTCATTCGCACAAGTTCCAGTGAATACCCACCGTATTTTATGTTTGTCCCGTTCTTGCCAAATTACTGTGTTTATCCAGGCTTAAACCTAATGGAACGTGAAACCATGATAATGAGGATCACAACCAAATATATTTCCCTTTATTGGTCTTCAAATGTCATTGGAAGGCAAAGCGTTTAAAGTAAATTGCACGTTATTGGAGATGACACTTTCAGACTGCTCTAATCAGGATGTCCTGCAAATTTAGGAAACTGCATTAGATTTTAAAGCTTGTCTGTTTGGCTAAAAGGACAATCACAGACGACCTTCACATATTGCTTTTTGTTTTGTGGTTGGGTTTTTTCTCCGTCTCCAGTGAGATCTTGTATGCCGTGTGAGGCTCCCCTCGTCTTCTGCTACAGGCTGTGATCAGAGGAATCACTAATTCACTTTTCTTATTTGATCCCCTAATCACACGGTATTTATTAACAAGACTGGAAGACATACGGTACAGTAGTTGGCAGCTTTTAAACGTGTATCGACGGAGGCAAAACAGATATTTTAGTCTCTCAAATAGGTCATATTTAAGTCATGACTGACTCTTTGTGCATACTGTGATCCTTCTGGGCGACAGTCTGTTGACAGGTGGGAGGGAAAGACAAACATATAGTATCTTGTGTTTGTTGCAACATGTTTTTTTCGTTCAGCGTCCGTTTCCACCAGTTTAATCCTACTTTGGAGGTACCGCTCAGTCCTGTTAATAGATAATTTCTCTCACGTCTTCTTCACCCCAGCAGTCTTGCCTCCAGGTATGGCTTATGCGTGGGCACTCCCTCATTCCTTCCACAGCCCAGTGGTGTTAAGCTTTCTGATTAAATGCCATGTAGAGGGCGTAGTATAATAAAGGCTGGCCCTGCAGTTAGCAACCAGCTGACTGCAGCAGATGGCTGGGCGGCAAACCAGATTACAGCCATCCGTCTTTAACGCTCTGACCTCATTGTGCCGCCGTCGACCCAACACGCTGAGCTGAACACCGGTGAAGGTTTATTAGCTCAGAATGAGGAAGCAGAACTTTGCAAGAGAGACAGGAAGCACCGGAGCATGTACGTAGGGATGTCGGGAGGGCGAGGAAGAAATGAAGGAAGGGTGGAAGGTGTGGAGAGAGGTGGAAGAAAAAAAAGAGATATCAAAGGATGCTGGGAAGAATGAATGTGTTATGTGTTAGGGTGCTGAAGTACACAAAAAAAGGGGTAGAAAGAGGTCAGCCATGTCAGAAATGAAATTAGATGTCACTGTAAAACTTTAGGAAAAGAATCAGGAAAAAGGAAAACACGGAGTCATGGAAGAGGAAGGAAGCCAAGTTTGGCTGTGGCACATCCTTGATGTCTTACTCAACGACAGCAGCAGTCACATCTAGCTGCGTGTGTCGTTTGTGCAAAGACAGAATTATGTTCAATTCCTGGCTGTGCGTTATTTCCCAACCAATTAAAGCTGGAGTGGGGCTCTTCCCCTGACTCTGTCAAGTGCCCTGGCCTCCGTCTACAAAACACAGGGTTGCAGAGCAACTGAGGGAATTAAGTAACGTGTTTAATAATGTGCTGTTTGGAAACCTCTGGCACTGATTCTGTTTGGATTCACATCATTTATTACAATTTCAGGGCAGTAAATGTATTTGTCCTGAGCTTTGCAATTAGAGCAACAGTGAAACGTTGTTAGCTTCTTAGTTTCCCAGTAGTCCTGAAACTAAAACCAGTGTTTCCAGACAGTATGTGACCCAACAGTGACTGCGTATGAGAGGAAAAAAGCACTGAACATGTTTGAAAGAGGTTCGGTCTATCCTTAAAGAGCATGCAGCAAAAGACTGAAGATGTGACAAGAGACAGTTTTATTTGCTTCACGAAACAGTAAAATAAGTGGCAATTTGATCTGGGTTGTTTAGCTTTGAATATGTTTTATTTAAATAGTATTTAATGGTAATTTCATGCTTGAAACTCTGCATTTAGGAACATTTGAGCCTGAAGTCTGGTATTTGTGATAATGTGAGCTTTGTGTACCATACCCTGACAGCAAGCTACAATCAGAAGTTAAGTTTGGTAGAGGTTGACTTGGGTTCAGATGCTATGTACTTCGGTGCATTTTACATCAAATATGAAATCTACTGTGATAGAATATCAGCTCAACTGTCTGTCACTTTTTTAAACATTAAAAAACAGCGTTATCTGCACCGCCTGTCTCGTCAGAAACCTGCGTATGCAGGCAGATCTCTGGTTCTTTGCATTATAGATGAGATTTGAAGACAGGTGAGTATGTGTGGAGTCGCTTCATCATTTCTGCATCCAAAAGAAAAATGCAATAATGCCAGGGAGTATTTCACCGTAAAGTATATTTTTAATTATTATGCAGCTGTCGGGTAAACGATGACGTGAGCTACTCTGGTACTGAACGTTAATGTGACGTGAACATTTGCCAGTGTGGGAACTTGGGAGTTTGGGGCAGTTTGATTAGAAATTTCACAAGAAAAGCTATTCAACACCCGGAACACAACAACAGTTAGTAAAGAACCAGAGTTACTAGCTGGTAAACACAGGGGAGCAGCTACAACTTAACAATAATGTATTTAATTTAGTAGTTGACCAAGAAGAAAGTGCAGGGACAAAAAAGAAAGAAAAGTGTTTTTAAAATAACAATCAATGATTATCCTTCATATTTTTTGCTAGTGTGAATATGTAGATAAGATATTAGCCATTTTGAAAGTTCAAAGCTGTTCCTAAGCACTTAGCCATCCATAAAATCAGATTCAAGTTCAGGTTTTTCAGTGGAAAGTTGAGCACTTGTTAGTCTTTAAACACTGACCGTGGTTGGTATCCTAAGATAATTCCTCTGTTTTCCTGTCAGCATGCACAGAACATGCAGACAGATAAATGTATTATCTATCTATAGTTTACCTGCCGCAGGTGCCAATACACTAACTCCCAATGGTCCACTAATTCTTTCCTTTCAGAGCCTCATAAGATCAGAATTGGATGCTGTACAATTTTCGTAAGATATTAATTGAGCAAACTGATAAAATAAACGTTTTGCTCGTCTCTTCTTGTCAATAGAAAATTGTACTTAGTAGTCAGGATAATCTTTTAATGATATACGTTTGCAAATGATAGAATACTGCATGATGACCTCTTTATAACTCAGACTGTTTTTAGTTCACTGTGACCCGTTATCATGCAGGGAAGGAGCAGTACCTGCTAGATAAGAGCTTAACGAGCAGTTTCACTTCGTGTCAGGTAGAGGAGCCTCTCTTGGCGCACACACACACATATACACTAGGGGTGCAAAGATACACAAAATTCACGGTTCGATACTTTGGTGTCACAGTTCGATATTTTTTCGATACAAAAAAATGTTCATGCTTTTTTAATTTGTCATTTATTAAAATTATAAATATATATTTTAACTCAAACTTACAGTTTTTAAATTTAATGTTGCTGAAACAACAAAGGGATGAAATAATAAATCTATCTGATCGAGAAATCCCTCATCTTTGGAAAAGAGAGTTTATTACAGAGAAATGGCTCTTTCCAAAATAAAAGCTATACTATCTGCTTCTTCTGGGCTATATTCTCAGCAGCATATTAAACATATCAGGTCCCCATAAGGAGAATCCTGTGCTAACGGCTGTCTAAATGACTCGGGTAAAGTTTGTAGCATGCCTGCTTGTTGTTTTTGTCTGCTTCCACTTGTCTTTGCACTAGCTCCGTTAACGAGCTACCTCGGATCGCCCCGTGCGTGGGGCTGGACTGCGTCAACACATTAACGAGCTAACTGCGCTAACGCACTAGTTCCCACCAATGTAACTGAGCATTGCGTGGCACATCCGACATACTATTTTACTTTTGTCCATGACACGCTTACCTTCAGGGTCATACATCACATGAAAACCAAAATAATTCCAAAGGTCAGATCTGAATGAGGGTGGGGGAGGTTCAATTTGCCATGTTGCAACGAGCTTAGCTTCTGTCTTGCTAGCTTGCGCTGTGCTCAGTGGATCTGCGCTCGACAGTGCAGCCTAGGCGAAGTAGTCGAACGCAGATCCTCTGAGCATCGTCAGAAGGAAAGTTGATAAAATAAATTAAAAATTTTGTATTGTTCGATACATATGCGTACCGAACCGAAAGCACTGTATCGAACGGTTCAATATCGATATGAGTATCGTTGCACCCCTAATATACACATCCACATTCCAATGTAATAAACGAATGCGCCTACTTTTGTATATAAATAAAGACCAGAGCGGTAACAGAGCGCACTTCACAGGGCCCCCACTCTGATGTCAGCGCTCTGTGACCGCCCTTGCAAGTAAAAACTGCAGCGTGTGTGTCTCCACTCTCTGACTCTCAGCTGAAGAAGTGTCTTTAGAATAAATCTCTTGACACTTCTGTTTTCACAGAATCTCATGTAAATATGTAATGCTCTCCCGTGTTGCGTGAGGAACTCTAAATGTTCCACAGCATTTTCAAAACAGCCTGCTGAGACACCAGTCGTTAGCCAGATGTTCCCCCACCTCAGTGGTGGCTGTATCCTTCTCTGAATTGATCAGTTCTTTCACGTCTTTGGAAATTGGAGCAGTCAGTTCTGTCGTGGCACACACTCTGGTAATGAGCATTCAGTGTAACCTCACAGGTCTCAGTGTACCTGCTCCCCTGGGTGTTACCATGTCACCAGATCTGGGACAGGTGTTTCTCCAACAATCTACCACCCGCTCTCTGCTCTATTTTTGTGATCATTGACGGGGAACGTGAACAGTTTGGACAGAAAGGCTTCTCCTTCCACCGCCCTCACATGCATATCTTCTTGTCTTTCTTTGTTTTTTGTTTTTTTGTCTTTTCTGTGAATTATGAGTGTTTTCTCAGCCGGCCAAGCTGAACCCTTTAGATTTCTGTGATGAATGTGCAGTCGTATATTGCTGTGTGCGGACTTGGTCATCACAGAGGAAACTACAAGCTTATCTATGCAATGAGACATATGAGCTCTGTCTCAGGGCTTTGTCTACATGCCACACGTGAAATATTGCGTGGCAACATCCAGGCAAAACTTCCCAGAAGTCGGATGTTGCCACAGCACGGTGCAGGCCTGTTATTTGTCAACATTTTCGAGGACCGGCAGTGTAAGCATTAGTCGAGAAATCGCCTCGTGTTTTTGTCTGCTTCTGTGGCGAGGAGGAAAAGGGTCGGCGTGCCGCACGATCCTCCAACTCCCTGTTTGTTCTGTATTCATTTGTCTGCCTCTCGTTAGAGGTAAATCTGGATCATTAACTTTCATTTCACACTGTAACTAAGACACAAAAAAATGATGTGCAGTGACTTATCGGAGACTCGGAAGAAGACTTTTATTGCAATAAGAGGGACCCTGCTCTCCAGCGGCTGTGTGAGGAGTCTGTAATGAGCCAGCAACATCACATACAGCCTACTGTTGATGGAGAAGACAAGATAGCAGATAGAAACAAAGCATAAGGCAGAGATTGATGGTGCTGCTGTTCTTCATTTCATTTTCCTGCACGAGGACCAAGATCTGCATCAGCAAACTTGCAGGCCGAGGAGCAAGAATGGGATTTGAAATAATTCTCGTCTTATTTCAAAGCTTTTAGAGGATGTTTTAAATGGGGTTTGCATTTTTAAGGATTACTAAAGCATTTTATTGCCCGAGAAATTTTAATTAATCAGTAAAAATTCAGTTTGAATGTCTAATTCAGCAAATAGATTTCAAAAGCCTTGCAGCTGAATAACAAGGGTACTGAACCAGTGAATGACTTTAAAGCTTAATGTCGTTTCTGTACAGTCAAAGGAAAGTTGGGTTTGTACTATTTCTAATGTGTAAGACAGAAAGTCAAGTGATATTAAATGTGTTATTATTTTAGAGAAGCCAGGCTTCTGGCTGCTTATTGTTACTTTCGTCCTTATTCTTTCACTAAAGGATTTACTGACACCTAAAATCACCTTGTTGTTTCTGGACGTGACAGTGCTAATGCAGCTTCTCTTGTCCTGTGCAGATTTCCTGATCACACTCTTTAACTCCAAGCTTTAAGTATTAAGTGCATTCCTATTGTTGTGATATTACTTTTATTGCCCGTGAAGATGTACAGCGTGATTCTGGCAGTCCATGTCATTTTTCTAGTCATAATTACCCCGTATCTAAAGCGCCTCTCAATCTGTCCTGGCAGTTAGCAAATCCCCACAGGCATATGAAACTGCAGGAGAGCTAAAGCTCTGATTTTGTATCTCATTAACACAGCGAATGAGATATTAATCTCCCTCAGACATGGCACAACCCTGAGCAAATTGTTGGTGTTCACTCAAGAGGAAAATGATTTGCTAGCACTGCTGAAGGGCATGTTGAAGCCGAGCGTGTGAGCGACACATGACGTGTCAGACGTTCAGACATCACACAGCGGTCCGCGTTACTGTTGCAGAGTTATTTTTATTTGACAAGACAAGAGGTTACCCATAACTGTGAAGGCGCTGGCATTTTATGTCTTTATATTGTAGTGTCGGATTGCTTTGCGTTAATGATTCGTCGGTCATACACAGTCCACTAAAAGCACTTAACTGCACACCTGCCACTACTGTTTGCATCTGTGTGAAAAGGATGCTGACAGTTTGAAAAGGGTAGAATAATCCGAGTGCGCCTCTACAAACACCCAAGCTTCAACTGCCTGCTCCAATACAAAGACAACATAAAGAGGTATTGAATGGTGCAACTCACCGGACTGTTCTTGCAAAGACAACCCCTCCAAACTAAGATCTCTAACTAAGGCTAATGTTTTCTTTTATCCTCTCCAGGTGCGTGAGAATGCCAAACAGGATCTCAAGGATGGGCTGGCTCTGTACAACTCAGAAAACAACATAGGCCTGCGAAATGCCTGGAACATCATCCAGGCAGAGGTAAGTAACGCCATGCATTTACAATATGAGAAACGTTAGTGTGAATGTTTAAGCACAAATGACTAAAATCTATTCAGATATTCCAGCTAATGTATGTCCTGGCTTGTAGCTGTGGCGTTAGAGTGAACTTAAAAGCCCAAACTGGCTGTCCAAGTACACTTCAGTCCTTTTTTGCTGTCCTTTAAAGGAAAGTGACCAATTACATTTTTTAATTAAAGTTTGTTTGAGCTTTTTGGGGCCACTGAGGACACAGAGCATTAACTCATCTTCCACCTGACATTTGTATGGCATTAACAGTGGAAATGCTGTGGAGTGATAGGATACACCGACTGGCACGAGGCCCTGAAGGACAAAGTAGTTCCTGATCGCTGCTGCCAGGAGCATTACCAGAACTGTGGGCGGAACTCCACCAACATGTTCTGGAACAGGGTGAGTTGACCTGGACTCCGATGAGTTGAGTTTTGCTTCTCAGTCTTTTGCTTTTGCTTTTAAGTATAAGAGTCACGTGTCTGCTCTTTATAAAATATTCAAAACTAACAGATTTACTGTATTAAAATGACAGACTCCACAGAATATACTTACTGTATTTAAGTTTTTGTTTTGGAGGATATGAATGATACACAGAGTCATTTTCTACCTAATCTCGGCTGTATAGTTTGCCTTGACTTTTCTCTTTTTAAAACTGATAGTCTGAAAGTATTCTGTATGATTCACGTAATATTCTTGTCCAGATTATAGGAAACATGCTGGGCCCAAAACTGCTGAATCAGAATACTTTATTAATCCTTAAGGAAATGATGTGGTTACTCCAAGACTTTAACAATTACAGACTAAACTATTTGAATATGTTACAGAGTTTACAAATTTAAGAAATAGCACTAATATATACAAGTCACTCAGTTATAAATATCAAGAATATTGACAAAGGATATTACAGAGGTGGAATATATATGATTGACATTTGAGTCTGACTGAACTTTGTCATTTGGTATTTAGCTGCAGAGCGTGTGCAAACAGGGCAGTGTTTACAGTGTGTTAGATGGAGGAGTTGCACAGGGAGACGGTCACGGGCAGGAAGTATTTCCTGTGTCGTTCTGTGGTGCTTTTTTGGTACCATTTATCCCTCTTTGTATTGTTACTGTCTCTCCTCATAGTAGGTTTTCCATTTACTTAGAACATGTGCTCTAAAATTGCTTTAACGAAGCCAAACTTGTTTTGCCACGTTTGTGCAGTTTTGAGTGCTGAAGTGTAATCTGTTCGTTTGCTTGAGTCAGCCAATGTACCAACGGAAACAGACGTTAACTTGAGGTAGCCAGCAATTAACTGGCTGGCTGTGTGTGTTCGTGTGTGTGTGTGTGTGTGTGCGCAGACTGAACTGCAGTCTCAGTGCGCCTACAAAATATATACATGTGAAGTTTTTACTGACACTGAAGCCTTTTTAGGCTGCACAGGCCTGTTTCTTTTATGGAGGGACGTAAGCACAGTGGACAACCAGAATAGCAAAAAGGTCTCGACTGGTGCATCTACATAACAAAATCGTTTTAGCGTCCCCGCGGTATGAATATGTCATTGTAAAACAGTTGTCTGTCTTTTCATAAATGCTCCCCCTGTGATGGGGTGGCTCAGTATTAGGAGTCTTTATTTCAATTTGCCCTTTCCTGAGAAAATGTTTCCCTGTCCTTCTCTGCTCCCTTGGTTTTGTAAATTCAGTACAAGATCCAAACAGAGTTCTGCTCTGTTCCTGAGTCATGCTGTATAAAAATAGCTGTCTGCGGTGCACCTTTTTCCTAAGTCCATTTAATCTCCAACATCTCCAGCACCTGATATTTTTCACTTCTCAATGTGTTTTTACTCCTCAGTGCTCAAGTACACAATTAAGATACCTGTCTGCCATTGTCTAACATCCATCCGGTGTCCTTGAAACTTTTAGATACCATATTTACAATCAGTCGAGCGTCACGCTGTGTATCATCCCCATCTCAGCCAAACCAATTTATCTTGTGATCCTAATCTTCATCAGGCTGTTTTTCAGCTCTTTAGCAACATTCAATCTTTCAGTTTTAGGCCAAAGAAGAAGAGTGAGGAGGGGTTTTTATGACGTATATAGAGCCTGACATTAAGCAATGTTCTAAGCTAAAATTCAAATTTCCATTTGTGAGATTGAACCACTTATTCTTCCGATTTTGAGAGCTGTACTTTGGAAGAAGTGCGCTGTCTGTGGCGTTTCAGGTGGAGGGCCACTGTGGCTCTGATTAGTGTTACTATGGCTCTTTTGTACATCCTGATTACTGCTGCAGCTGTGCTCTGGGCTTTCAAAAAGTGTCCAAAACTCGCGGCCCGCGGGCCATTTGCGGCCCACGTCACCTCTACTTGTGGCCCGCATACTGATGTGAAGAAAAATTTTTTTTAATTATTATACAAAAAATGATTTAATACATGACAGAGTGTTACAGGCATGGCCCTTTAAGACTGTAGCCTCATGTGCGGTGTAGTCCTTGCTGCAGGGAGAGCGTGTGGGACCGCCCCTCCCGCTGTGTGTGAGCGTGAGGGAGGGAGGAAAAAGGAAAGTCGAAAAGTACGAGGCGCTACCGAGCAGAAACGGGAGATGGAAGCATGTAAATATAAAAAATAACCACTGCAGCCTAAAAGAGTGCCTGACGAGCCCAGTAAGCTATTAAGACTCGACTGTACACCGTGTTCGTGTTTTCCTCCGAAACAATAAAGTTCTGCTGGAGCAGCCTTTCAACGCCTCTCTCTGTCTCTCGCTAGCAAAGTTGACCCAGACAGTAAAGCTCGTTCCATGAGCCGACATGGAGCCCAAAGTATTAGCCAGAGTCTCCTTACCACGTTTCAGAGCCGCGGACCTGAGCGAGGTAACAAGAGCGTGCAAACATGTTGAGGGCTGTATTAGTTCAGGGAGAGATTTATTTAGAAAGAAAACAATTTTCACTTGCAATCAAAGACTAATGTGTACGCTTATGTCTGCATTTTTATTTTGTTAAATACAAACAAAAATTGTAGCAAAAGTGCTTCCACGTGTCTGGCCAGAAAGAGCTGTTTATTTGGTAGTTCAATGAAACTACTGTACTACACTGTACTACACTGCTGAGTGACTGTCTTCTGCTCGTCAAATACATTTCACTGCAATGTTGACCCTGTGCTAACTTACATATGACAACTGAAACTGAAAGGCTTCAGACAGTTAAGAGTGAGAAAAAATTGTGTTCATGTTTGCAATTTTGTCTTGTTACACAATATTTGGAATTAAATAAAACAAACAAAACACTACATTTTAGGAAATATTAGTGGGTGTTTTCATGTTTGTTTTTTTGTACTACTTGGACACTAAAGTGGCCTCCAACGAGGTGACGGTGCCAGAAGTGGCCCGCGGCTCATTTGAGTTTGAGACCCCTGCTTTAGACAATTCTTCTCCATATGGGTCCCAAACTCACTTAACTCCCAACTCATTAACAAATTAAGTTGCACTGTTAACAGGTCATGTTATGACTATGCTCATACAGTTAGGCTAATTTAAAATAATCAGCATACTTACATCGTCTTAGTGATCACAGGTTTTCTCACTGTTGTTGCAGTGTTCAGTTGTGCTTCACCGAGGATTTGCGTACGAGAAGTTTTGGTTTGAAATGATTTTGTTCGTGCATTTTTGGTTTTGGCTTAAATTAACAAAAGAGCTGCAGAGCTGTGAAAGAACCACAAAGACAAAACCACCATAGAAACTTCAACAGACTCAAAATGCAAAATGTCCATAACAGGAAAACAACACGAAACAAGTCGAGGCGGAAAACTACTACAGAGAGGTGCGGACAAGCATACCGATGAACAGCTGCGAAGAGACAAATTAAGAGGAACAAGAAAAATACTGAAAAGTGAAAGAAAGGGACTGCAAAACAAAAACACAAAGTGACTACAGAGTGAACAATTGCTCCGTGTTGGGGGTTGTTGATACTTTTCTTCCCATTAACTCGTGATGCATTGGGAAGTTAGATCCACAGCGTCCTACTTTTTAACGCCACATTTGAAGTGCTCTAACATATTGCCTTTAAATTACACTTTTGTTGCTCTAAAATACAATACTTGCCAATTTCTGCTCCCCGAATTCAAAAGAGGCATGCATCTGTAAGCTTTAATCCACTGTTGTTTTTTCCAACACTTTGTGGGTACTTAAAGTCGCTTTAAAGTTTTCCTCTTATTGCCTAAATCCAATGGATTTTTCTATTGTTCTCGAGACAACAGCTCTTCTTTTCTCACAAAACCGTGTAGCACAATGCTCACCAGTTTTCCCTCGTATTGCTACTCTAATCTGCTATTGGTCTGGCATGTGGTTCGTTAGTGTGTCCAAAGTAGAGGATTAAAAGCTGTAATATAATTGCCAAAATGAGAAAAGACAGACATTGAGCTGGCCCATTGGGAAAGCTCATCATTAAAAGCTTGTGTGTAATCTTGCCCAGAGGAGATGGCCACACGCTTTGTAGTTAACTTTACATGCTGCCTCAGCAACCACAGACCAGCAGGGGCACAGCTTTGCTGCTGAAACCGCCCTTAAGTGTGTCGCGTTATATCCCTGCCAATGAGTAGCCTTTGAATGAACCCAGGTGGGAATGTATTTAAGCATACGATTAGTGCGCACGTCGGCTTATGTGTCCCATACGTCTGCATATAAATGTCATCGCTCACAATAACTCAGCTGTGTTTAATAACTCACCTGCTAGTTATCCATCCTACGGTATAGCTCACATTAAAGAAATGCTTTCTTGTGGGAAAACTGCAAACCAGATGATTGAGCTTTCTCCAGGGTAACTGAACAGGGGGCAGCCATCGCTCCAACTACAGTGTCATAAACTGAAAATGTACATTTTAATGGTATTTTAACATGGTTTTGTTCCTTTTTTCAGGGCTGCTTTGAGAAAGTGGAGGAATGGCTGGATGACAATAAGTATCTGCTGGGAACCATAGGCATGGTCATCTTGGTAGTGGAGGTAGGAGGATTTGTGAGAAACAACTCTTTCCTGTTTGTCCTGCTTTGTGTCTTTTGCCAACATTGAAAACAATTAAAAGGTTAATGCTCAGTGGGCATTCTGGGCTCCAGCACATCCTGAAATATTGAAGCTCCTGTCTTGTGCACCCTGATCATGTGTGAAGTGGCTTTGTGCCAAGAATGATATTGTAACGTTCACAAGAACCAGACGGTTGGGGTCTCAGTTTGTCCGTTTATTCGGCACATAAACCAGCGGGTTGTTAACTCAGGGGGAAGCGCTCTCGAACTACACCTCTCTTCAGCCTGGCACACACACAGAACAACCAGGTCCCCCCACCCCTTCCTGTACACCACCCTCACTACTTCCTGCAGCCCAACCAAACATGAATCTTAAAGGAACAACAACAGTGTGCAGAGAAAACCAACATGTCACTGTCCAGTAACACTTAACCATCGTTACACTATAAGGAGCTATGAGACGACAGGAGAGCAGAGATGCTGAATATAGAGTCGCAGATTAAAGGCTCTGTAGCAAGTGGTGGTAGAAATTCCACTGGCGCTTCTGTTTGTCTTTTGCTACTAAACTTTGCTTCAGATGTATCCCTCTTTATCTCAGTGTCTCTTCAGGATGTAGTATTTCCACTTACTTTGAGATTGCACTCTAAAAGTGTCTACTCACAGAACAACGGGAACCTTTTTTTTTTTTTAACCGTATTTGTGCAAATTTTGACTGCAAGACTTTTTTGTATTACGTCTTTTGTTTTGTTTTTTTCACTCCGGTTAGCCAGTGTTTCAACAGAAGCGGTGATAGCGCTAGGTAGCCAGCACAGCTAACTGCACAGAAACCTGTGTGAGCATGGTGGACAACAATATGAGTTCATGCACGCATGTAACAACTGAAAGTTAGTGTGAATGCTAGACTGTCTGTATATGCCACTACCGGCAACCTGTCAGGTAGGGCTGTTCGATATAACGATATATATCGGACGGCGATATAAAAACGTCTATCGTTTCATTTGACGCTATCGTTTGTTTCATGGTGTCACAAAATAAACTGTTTATGGCAATATTTTTTCATGGTTTTGATGGTCACTGTAGTGGCTATATTAATTTCTTAAAGTTTTCTCTTTCTCTTATATTTAATATAACCACACTACTGACGGACAAGCGCCTGTTTTTATGCGTTGTCGTTAGCAACAGCGACGGTAACAGCATCGCGTGTCTGCTTGTTTATGTTCCACATAAACCTTTCACAATAAAGCTCAAGATCCTGTTGAAACTTTTCAAAATTAACTGAATCACGTGAAAGAGCAGATTATTTACGGATGAGAAGTATAAAAGAGCCGCCAGGTGCTAAAAAAATAAACCTCAGACTCAAACGTTAGAACAGGCTTTTCCCCGCAGCACGCCGTGTAATAAATACTCACAAAGAAAACGGCGGCCTTTACAACTTGTGTCTAAAAATAGTTTCATGCATCGGTTAAAACACTCGACTCCAGCTACATGACGCGCAGCTGGAAACCCTTCCCGCAAGTCGAGCTGCCCGAGATTCACAGAATTTACAGAAAATGTTACATTTTTGTGATTTATATCGTTATCGGACGATAGAATTCTTATATCGGGATATGAGATTTTGGTCATATCGCACAGCCCTACTGTCAGGGGTCCTTGCTTCAATTTGCACCTTCTTGAGAGAATGTTTTCACACTCCCTTGACTTTGTAAATTCACTATAAGATCCAGCAGAGATCTGGTCTTTTTCCTGAATCATCCTCTGTGGCAATAGCTGTCTGGTGCACCTTTTTTCCTAAGTCCGTTTAATCTACAACACCCGACATCTCTGACTGCACCTTACCCTCCAATCCTTTTCACTTCTTCTGCTGCCAAGGTGCATGACAAGTGCAGAATATTTTAATATCTCGGCCCATGAAACCTTTCGGTACAATATTTACATTTCACATAGATGATGATATTTGACACAGATTTCTCAGATGTACAGTTCATTTTGTATGTCCGTGCCCTTGATTTTATTTTTGATGCTGTGAAGACTTGTTTTTCAATATTTTCTTTCTGCCTAGCCTGATATGTCTGTGACTGCGTGCACGCAGGACAAGGCTTCACTTTGCTAATGCATGAATTCATGGTTCATTCAGAGCAAGGTGTCCTCACCAAGGAAGGCAAATCTCCCTGTTGAGTTTTGTATGATTCTGCACGTAATAATGTCCTCAGGGAGGGGTAGCTCTTGCACAGTCACATCAGAGAAATGTGTGCATTATATATGACCACACTATGCTCTGAAGAATTTGTTAAATTTCACATTCTCCTCCAAACGCACATCAGGCATGTGCAGAACACTGAGACTTCTGGGCGCACACACATCCTCCTCTGATTCAGGCCAAACCAGAGGTAAAGTTGGGAAATATTTGCAGACGTGACAATGAAGAGCATCATAAATAAAGCTAATGTCCCATAATGTTATTTTGTTTTTGTTTTTTAATGATTTGGGACCAGAAACATGCTGTAAATAACAAACTTTGTCAAAAGCTAGTACCGTATTTTTCGGACCATAAGGCACATTAAGCGAAACAAAACAGTCAGATAAGTCAAACTTTACTCAGCTCATTCTTCTTGCTTCCTCCACTTCCGTACAATTGTTGAATTCTCTGGCAGCTGCTCTATTCCCATGTTGTTGCGGTATATTAATGACTAACCTAATATTGTGGATGGATTATCTCAGTTGTTCTCCTGACTGAAGTTTGGTCTGTTTACAGCATCCTGCCATGTGATTGCATTTGTCCCTAACCATCGGGAACTCTCATGTTAACTTTTATCGAGTGTAAAAAAAGTTAGCTTCACTGTGTTTATGCTATGCTAACATAGCTGTGTCACTAGCGATCACGTAGCACATCATTATATACCAGCTAGCCCAACTTCAGTAACCCTACAAACGTCACTGCTGTTTAGTTTTCTGTCTTCATTTATGTTGGAAGTGATAGCAGAGCTGTACGTTTGAATTTGTTTCAGAAATCTCTTATTCAGAACATGCAATATCAGGTTTAGGTGGAAGCTAGCGAGCTAACTTCCTGCTAACTTCTAACTCTGTTAAATGTAACTAATTCTGTTTTCATGGATGCCTGGATGTTAAACGTAATTGTTACACCTGGTAAAGCAACAACACTGATCATTTTATTAAAGATGAAAGAATTTAGACAGTTTTTAACTCTCAGTGATGCTGCAGTGCTCGTTTGACTTTGGGACCTGAAGTTGACAGATTTTTGGACCCAGATTACACCGAGTCCGCGAGGCTCCTGACTACAGCAGCCATAATGCTCCAACAATCGATCAAGCTGCGCAGCTTCATAGCTTACCAAAGTCGTACTGAAACATTTTTGACAGATTTTTGAGCACCGTGTACCGCATAAAATTGGTTCGAGATCAGTAAGCACAACCAGAATTTAATAATTTCCCCTAGGGATCAATAAAGTATTCTGATTCTGATTCTGATACATAAGGCACACCGGATTATAAAGCACACTGTTGATTTTTGATAAAATTAAAGGATTTTAAGTGCTCCTTATAGTGCGGAAAATATGGTATGTACGGTGTGTGTTTATCCACAATGCTTCAGAAATCCCAGAAATATTTCCACATTTTAAGCAGGAATCTGTGATTGAGCTTTAAAGCATCCTTCAGGAGCAACTGTCATCCTGTCTCTCAGACTGAATGAAGCAGACAGCAGAAACTTTCTGTCAGAGACAGATGAGCTCAGATGTAAATAATTGGGTTGGCTCTGAAGCACTTTTTCATCTGTCCTAACTCCGTCTCAGCTGGATGTTTACCTAAAATGGCACTTTTTTTTGGATTGACGCCAGTTTAAGGTGGCATTTTCTCTGAAGCCGCTCTGCGAATTAGGTTTTGAGTGAAACCAAAAGCGAATCAGCAGCTTTCCCCAGCTAATCACAGACCATAGGGATCCCCAGTGGAGTCCACATTTCCTTTTTTATTAAAAACTATGCAGCATTCAGTATTTTTCAGTTTCCCTGTCATCACAACTTTGCCAGATAATGGTTTTAGGATCAGCCTTGCGACTGTGTTTGATGTGGAAGTATCAGCGGTAATGGAAACTTCAAAGACATAGCTGGCTACTTTGATTCAATGGCATCTCAATTTACTTCACTGGCTTAATGCTTGCACACACTGTACATTTTGCCATCACAAAGATTCCAGAGCTTCCATTTGAAGGCCATCTGAGAAAAAGAAACTGAACTAAAATGTGTTCGTGATTCAGCACACGATTCATTGTGCATCAGAAACGCAGCCCAAGGCATCAACATAAATAGACCACACGGACACACCTGCACATATATTACACATAAATAGATACTATAGACAGACACGAGCATGTGTTCATGATCTCCTTGTTTTCCTCCACAGCTCCTGGGCATGGCATTCTCTATGACATTGTTCCACCACATTCACAGAACGGGAAAGAAGTATGACGCTTAGCCTTGGGACAAGCACCAAATGGAGAGGAGCCCCAGTGCTTGATGGGATAAAGACTCTGATTCAAACATACATCCATGCTTTCCCTCTTTAGAGCATCCTTTTCCCCCTTCTCAGATCGTCTGTACAGATTCCAGCTGCTCTGTCCTGCTGTCTCCTCTCACCATTCATTTTGCCAAAGAGTAACACAACTGGAAGAGAAGAGGCACCTACTTTTGGCAAGGAAGAGAATCCCATATGTTGTCCCTTCTCTTGAGTACACTTGTTTTTTGGCTTTTTCTGTTCTTCTTTGGCTTGAACTAACCAATTGCTGGAGGGAAAGACAGACTTTGAGACAATGAAGACTTTACAAATGCCCAAACAGCCCCACAGGGCGAAAAAACCCACGAAAGTGACAAAACCCTCCACCTCATGTGGAGTTTTTTTTCTTCATGCTTATTAAATTCTAGCCCTGTTTTTTTCCCCTTGTAAATGAAAAAGATCCAACATGGCATGCTAGTTTTCTACTTCACTGATTTATCAATGAAATGACCGTTGTTATTATTTTTATTTTAAACGTATTGTTTTCTTGTTGGATTTGCTTTTGTAAGTATATCATCCTGTGGAATGTAAGTGTCGAACAGATCGGTGCAATGTGTGTGTGGGTATGTGTGTGGGATTGGTTTTGAGGTAACATTGCTGCAGACGGGCAAAGGCACGTAAGGATGCAGAGGTTTAGGTGAAATGAGCTTCATGGAGGAGCATCGCGTAAGCACGAGGAGTCATCGGTGGATTCATTTTACACCAAACATTTGTCTGCGAACAAACTCGCACACATGCATTTTGTGCTGCCACGCAGCAGCGTACCCGTTCCCTGTTAGACAATATAAATGATGTAAAATGGCTGTTTATTAGGGCTCCAGCAGCACTGTCAGCTGTAGAGATCTAGGTGATAAAGTCCCCCCTTTGAGAAAGCAGACTGGGTTGTGTACGCGCATGCATTTTATCACACAGTTCAAGCTGCAGAGGAGAAAAAACCCACTGAGAAACACTTAGAATCAAGGGCAGGATGGAGCAAAAACCGAGCAGACACGCTGTCTCGTTTCGGCTATCAATAGCGTTAACAGAGGTGGCTCTAGCCTTTCTGTACTGAAGATCTCATCCATTCACACCGCACTCCTCGTGCTTTCTCTCGGCGGCTTGCAACTCAACCCTGCCTCTATCTTTTCTTTTTCACTCTAATTTTCTTTCTCCGTGTCAGGCAGCAATGAGTTTCATGCTCCATCCAGTGCTTCTGCTGACATTCCTGCTCATCACACGTTTACACCTCCGGTTTGCAACCCCCTTCAATTTTACGTAGGCTTCATTTTCTCGCAGCAACCAGAGGTGGGGCGAGATGGGAGTGTGAGAGTGTTGCCAGATCAAAGCTCAGACTGATATGTATGGCAACATGCCCTGTAGGACACATCAGTTTATGTCTGTTTACATCTACATTCACTGCAGGGGGCCAGAGTGCCAGCCTTCCTCCTGGAGACTGAAAATATTCCATCTGCTGTGGCGACTTCAAAAAATGCCCTCCGGTGTGTCTGCTCTAGGCTTCAAAATCTCCAAAGAAACAGTGGAATAAAGACCTCGCTTACTGTCAAAGGATCACTGTAGCTTTTGGAATCATAAGGTTGTATTCAGTTGTGACATAGTGCTTTCCAAAGCAAGTGCAATTAGAGATGTGGGAAGATTGCTATATTTTAATCAAGAACAAAAAATAGCAGTAAATAAGCCGGCCAATAATTACAAAACATTTGTAACAGAATGTTAGCAGATTGTTTTGCACAAAGGTTTTTACTACAGAGGGAAGATTTTAAAGAAATTGTCTATTTAAGCTGATATTTTACCACAGTTGCGTCTTTACCATCTTTATTTTGAATTTCTGTTACTGAACCGTTGACCTGTATTGTCATGTTTGCCACTATGCCCTGTTTCTCTTCATCTCATCCATTCAAGCCGATTCAGTTTGTAGATTCCTGCAAGTTGGTTGGACTTCAATTCAGTAGCAACTCTTTCAGAACACAGTAAAAGCTCATATAACCTTGGAATTGTGGAATCTTTATGATGCAGAGTACTGTACTTGCACGAGAGGAATTTAGGATTGTGTTTTACCACCTAGTTAAGTCAAGTCTCCCATTTATAGCCTATATCGCCTGCTCATGTGTAACCAGTAGAGCTGAGCTTGGCTACCAGGGAAGCTGCCAATTAAACTTTTACAAGTGGTTGCGTTCTAAATTGTTTCCTACATTATAGCTGCAATTAAATTTATTGCTTTGAATGACGCATCAATGAAGTACTGTCTATTCCTGCTACCTGAACTAACAAAGAAAATAAGCCACTCATTTACTCACGTGCCCCCTTGATGTGAGATGCTTCAGAGTATCTCCTGAAGTCATTGTTGGCATTTTAGGAAAAATTAGTCTGATGATTTCTTCATTTAAGGGAGAGTTTTAGGAAGAGAAAGGGGAATTCTTGCAACAGGAAGCAACAAATTTGTGCTGTTTTGTGCAGTGACCCTGCTGGCTGTAATACACTGTCTGCCCCCATATGCTCCAACTCTTCCTGTTGTGTCCATGGGGGAAACATGACAGCTGCTGATGTACAGTGCAGGCACGAGCGATCGCGTTTCCTCTGCTCGGCTGCCTCCACAAACTCAACACATCCCTTACTTACTGCCTCACTCTGCAGACACCTGGCGCTATTCAGTAACTGGCAATGTGGTTTGGACCCCTTAAAGCACTCGTAAGGTACCTGAGACGGGTTAGCGGAGGAATAGCTCAAAACAGTTTGGCAAATGAGGCTGTGCTGTATCCTTACTGCAAAAAAAAAGGTTCAAAGGAAACCCAAGATAGCCGCACATGTAACAGAAATACAAGAATGCAGAATAGTGGGAATAAAGCAAATCCGTTGGGAGGTCAGAGCCTCAGCCTGCGGACGCTGTTTGCTCTCGGCTGATCTGACTGGGGCGACATTTTCTTCTCTGTGTAAAATCCTTACCCCATTTTCCATGATTATGTCAATGTTACATTGTGTTTGTAATATGCGGGGATGAATGCCATTTTAACAAGGGGGGCGGCTGTTTAATTATGTTCGTTTTGTACACTTTTCTGCTGTTTAAATGTTTGTTTTTATACAATATGCTGTTGATTTTCTTGTTGTAGGTTCTGTTTTTATTGGCTTTCCCCCCATTTGTAGTTCACTTTGAGTACATGACATCATTAAGCATTTTTTCCTAGAGGATTAGTCTTTGCAGTGTTCCTCTACAACATGCAAAAATGCCTTTTCTGTGTTTCAGCGATGCAGGCGGTTAAAGCAATTAACGTAGAACAAATAGAAGGAAAATCTGGCATATAGTATCAGGCAAAGTCCACAAAAGACATACTGCGCTTTTGTCGTTGTCCTTCTTTGTATTAGGATCAAATTAAATTGAATTAGGACGCGCAGCTATAATCTGCAGTATCTCTTCAAACTGCCAGTGCAGGACCCATTCTGTACTCTTAGAGCATGAACTGTTAGACGACTGTACAACAGAGTTCATCTCGCTCCAGTGTATCAGCTCACTGTAAATATGCCCATTTTACAAGTGATGTAACTTACTGTTATACCTCTGCCACTTCGCCTAACATTCACATCAACAGGCTGGTTTTCTGACAGCCCGTGCCCTTTTTATGCTCACTTACAGACACTTGTACTGTATGTTATCCACTTTTTATGTCTGCCAGATTTCCTGCCTCTGTTTTCGCTTCAAGCACGAGAGCGGTGTAAATGTTCAGTAAATTTGTGTTTGCGTCAGTACAGTCCTCATATATTTTTGACTGCATTTTCATCTTTTAGTAAAACATGATTTCTTTTTTTTTTTAATTGATTTTTTTGAAGGAGTATAAAATATTCCGTCTCATCCAAGGAAGCACTCCCAGTAAGCCACGGAAATGGTGAAGGAAGGATGCACATGCAGTAATTGGGTTTCGTCTGCTGTGAAAAATTCTGAACATAAAAACTGTTTTTTGTTGTTGTTTCCTTTCGTTTTGTGTGTGTGTCAGAATCATTTTTTGCCACCTTCGACATATTATTTCTGTAATCTGCTCCTAATCCTTCCCCTGTGCTGAAGCTGAATATGTGAGCAGTGGAAATGTATGCTCTAGAAATGGTGTGTTTGATGTTGTGTTCTGCTGGGTGGCACTATCTGATACCTGCCAGCCTTGTCCTGTGGAGTTTTCTGCTACACGTGAAAGCACTCTGAATATCTATACTAGCTGGTGCACTACTTTCTCTTTACTCGCTAAATCAACTATTTTTTAAATAAAGGAAAGAGTGTCAGAAAAAATCTCTCGGTACAGTACGCTTATTGCCTTTCTTGTCTAATGACTTGATGCTTCGGATTCCCTTTTTATGTTGCCGTCAATTAGATTTGATTCAGAATTTGTTTGTGGGGTTTGGGGGGTGGAGTGGAAGACTCGGCATGAAGAGCAAAGTGGCGTCAGCAGATCCCATGATACATGAAGTGTTCTGTGTATACAATCCCTGTCTGAAAATGGGCTCTTTTTTAAAAAAAAAAAAAGCATAACAAAACCTGAGGGACTGTTGTCCTAAAGATGCTGAGATGAGCTAATGGTGGTGAGCCAGTCAAGAAGAGGTTCTTTTTCTAAAGAACAAAGTGAAGATGATGAAAGTGGGAACCATTGCCAATTTGTCTCACGCTTCAACAGCGCGGAGTGAAAAGCTCAGTATTTTTGTGTGCAGCTTGATCCCCTCCTTTTAACCTAATTGTTATCGGGCCTGTGTGCGATAGTGAGTGGAGTTTATTGTGCCATTCCACCCGGGCTTTTTGTTTTTCCATCACTGTTCCTTCTATGCAAAAAAAAAATTATGACCTATTTTAGCCTTTGTACAGATTATTTTGTATGAATAACGTACTGAAATAAAGTGAAAAGAATCAATCACGGATACTTTTATTTTTTATTTCCCACCTCATCCACCGCACAACTCATTTCATTAACCTGAATTTGGAAGGCTTTCGTTTCAATGAGGCTGTTTACTTTGTCCCCACACAGGACTGCTGAACTTGTTAACCTGCAGTGGAGGTGATCTGCAGGTTGTTTCTGGTACTGCTTGTTCTCACACGGTCTTGTTTCGCGGGGTATGCTTGTCATCTTTTAAACATCACATGCAAAAACAGCATGGCTCATACTGCTGCAGGGTTACTGTTGCTTCCTATTATTTGTTCTTTTAAACCTCCACTGTGCTTAATAGATCTGCAGTAGCAGGTGGAATTTTAGACACATGCTCTCATTTAAGGGTTTTCAACCATCTAAACATGTCAAAACTATGCAGGTACGTTGGTTGTTTTATTCAGAGTTCAACACAACACAGCCATGCCATCTCATCGTTTTCACACACCTGGACCCTATTGTTTTTCAGTAGGTCAGCTCCAGGTTATCTAATTGGTATTTTGCCATGAAGCAGAGTTATGAGTGTTGTATCATATGATCTGACCTCCACAACCACACAATATGCCACCACCAGTATGGGGTATATTTTGGGATGCAATAACAGAAAAGCAGCCAGCAAGTGCTCAGAATATCTATCGTTCCCTGTTTCCTCTCAGCCAAACGGATTGCCACCCAGCCTAAGTATGGTACTGTTGGAGGTTTCTTGCAGATACAAGAGAGTTTGTCTTCTCCACTGGTGCTCAATAGGGGATTTGTTTTGTTGCTTTCTACAATAATGTAAGGTCTTGACCTTATAGTGCTCTTCAGATAGTCCCATTTACTGTGTTTGTGTGCTTTTAAGTCAGAAGTGGAAGCAATTGGGATGCTGCAAAGAAGCATACAGCTGTGATATCTAGTTATTTTCTACACTGAAGAAAATAGTACCAATAAGAAAAAAAACCTTGAGTGGGTAGGTCGCAAATTTAACCTGCTGCTGGTTATGAATGTCTTGGCTGAAAATAGTTACATTTTATTATTATAATGACACAAATTCCATTAATAAAACAAAATTGGTCAAATCGCTGTATTTTGTCTGAGTTCATGGAAGGAGGACGACACCACTTTCTATCTGTGCTATAAATATGAAGCCATAGCCAGCAACTGGCTAGCTTTGCTTAGCTAGGTTTAGCATTACAGACTATTTTTTACGATTACAGATGAAGCAAAATTAGTGTAAAAATTACAAGATGTTTGGTTTTTATAGGCCATTATGTTACAGATGAATACATTAACATGTCAAGTTCAAACCGTGAATCAAAATGGGGAAGAAAGGTGATTTAAGTGACTTTGCTTTTAAGACAGCTTGTCTGAGTATTTCAGAAACCGCTGATCTTGTGGGATTTTCCCACACAACCACCTTCAGTTTGCAAAGATGGTCTGAGAAAGAGAAAATATCCAGTGAGCGTAGCTAGACTACTTCAAGCTAAGAGGAAGGCAACAGGAAAGGAAGTCAAATAACCACTTGTTACAAGCAGGCTATGGAGAAGTTCATCTCTGAAAGCACAGCACATAAACCCTTGGAGCAGATGGACTACACCAACAGAAGACCACACCGGTTGCAACTCAAGTCAAGCTGAGGCTCACATGGGTTCACCCAAACTGGGCAACAGAAAAAAGTTGCCTGGTTTAATGAGTCTGGATGGGAATGTCCGAATTTGGCATGAACTACATGATGACATCAATCTAGCCCAGTGTTTCCAACCACTGTGCCACGAGAAATGACCAGGTGTGCCGTGGAAGATTACCTGGCTTCACCTGATTAGTACTCCAGGCGATCGGTGTGAGTAATGGGCAGAACAATTACATCATCTATCGATTACATTAAATGGGTTGCCAACCGCCAGTAAAACAGAAGAAGACGAAGAAGAAATTACATAGCAATACATAAATATTTGAAATAAAAAGTAGTCACTCTGACCCAGGCCCTGGGGAAAATTCCGACCCAGATGAAATGCCAGAAGAAAGCAAAAAAGGTATACTGGGGACAAACCGAGCCAACTCCACTATGTCTGCTGTGCGGAAAAAACTTATCAATGTGCTTTTTGTGACAGTTTTGTTTGGTGGTGTGCTGTGTGATTGTTCTAATGTGAAGTAGGTGCCGTGGCTCCAAAAGTTTGGGAAACACTGATCTAGCTTACCTTGTATCAGTGGTGACATAAGGGTTTGCCCCATGTACCTCCAGGATGTGGTGGAGTGATTCAGCAACTGTGTGATGCGAAATTGCTGCAACCAAAATCTGAGGAATGTTTCCAGCAATTTTCTGAATCCATTCCACAAAGATTTGAGGCCGTTCTGAAGGCAAAAAGGGTCCAACCCATTGCGAATGAGGTGTAAATGTATGGTGATGGCATGTCACATACAAAAAAAAATGTGATGATTCATGACACAATTTTCAGAGCATAGTGCCATCTTACCAAAAACTCTAATATATTGATTGGAGCCAATCACAGGAAGATCCACCATACTTCTAATTTCTGTGTTCAAACAAAGCTCGAGGTATCTGCACAGCTCAGGACATCACTATGGTATCACCCATCTGTATCATCTCTCTTTTCATATCACTCCCAGTTGGAATCCATAGATTCCATTAGCACTACCAAAGGTAAAGTAAAAATGTTGCATAATTACAGAGTGCAACCTCCTCCCAGTTAAGGTTCTGTTCAACTAAAATCTGATTTGTATTCAATCTAAAAAAAAAAAAGGTGAAACTCATTAAATACGAGTCTCTGGCAAGTCACTGAGTTACTGAGGGATCTGGTGTCCAGTGATGATGTAATACATTAACTTTATAGTTACGTTTTTGTGCTTCCGGTCATTCTGACAGATGATCCTTCATCACCAGTCAATAATCAGCTTTCGTCTTTCAATCTATATCTCTTCACAGAGTTTGTGGCTTGACTTCTTTCTTTCTTTTTAACTTCTTTATTGGTTTGAATGTTATTTACTCAAAGTTTGGCAGATTCAATCTAAAGCACACTGGAGACATCACAGCAAAAGGCAATGTCATGTAACTACATTAGATGTTCCTCCTCTCAAAAATGTCATTGTCCAGCCTCTGTCAACCGTCCTTCTGCTTTATTCACTGGAACAGTAATCTGAATCTGTAATCTGCAGACTAGAACATGAAACTTTCACAAGCAATAAACATTAATACAGAAAGACGAGTGCACTGCGTTTGTGCGATGTGGAATCTAGGCCCTTTGACATAATGGCGAGAGGAGACAGAATGCACAGGGGTAAACTAAAGGCAGCTTGTAGGCCATTCAGCTGCTGTCAGCTAGAGATATTTTTTGTGCAATCTGACCCATCAGCCTACATGGACAGTTCTGGGTCTCACCAGCACGGTGAGGCGGCGTCACAAATCCATGCCCCCCCCTTTTTTTAAGCCACCCCGACACCAGCACAGCTTGCAACCCACCCGCTTCTCACAGATTCACATGGCGCCTGCAGATCTGCTGGGTGGGGCAGGAACTGGGGACTGTTTACAAGTGAAACTCGCTGTAGCTTTACACCTCAATAAATAATGGACCGGAAACTGAATCTGGACCGAGCTGAGACATTCTCCTTTGTCAACCCGTGGATCAGATACTTTCTCTTCTTCTTCAGCTTCTTATTTTGGGTGAGTAGAGTTGCAACGATAAAAGTGTTGCAACGATAAAATATACTCTAAATATTTTGGAGAATGCAAATCACCAGCAATCAGAGAGCTTTCAAAGAAGACAGATCTGCTACAAAGAAAAACCAAAAAAAAATATAAATAATAAATGGAGAAAAGAAATTCAGCTATTATCAGGAGTTAAAAACAGCAGGAGCACCCAGCCTCCATGCTGCTACCTATTTCACGTTTAGTACAGTGTGGAGCAGGGAAATTATTTTACTGCTATTGTTAAATAATTATCAACAGTACCATTGCATTAATAATATAATCTGGAGTTTATATTGCATTCAGGGGTTGAACAGTGTGTCTTTCAGAAAGACTGAGTTGCAGGCTGACAGGAAGTTGTATGCAGAAGTGAAAGCAGATAGTTATTTTGAGCAGCAGGCTAAGACGAGGCTTTAACAATGTAACAGATAGCTTTAAGAAGGCCTTAAGCAGTTATGACTATTTTATACACAATGCATATCTGTGCTTATTAAAGAGTTGGAGCTCGGTCAATTAATTGGGGGTCGGAAGCTTTGTTCGGCGCGATGTCCGGACAATCTATTGTGCAAGTGACTTGGAGCCATAGAAGGAATTGCAATACATGCTTACAAAACACTTATATATCAGATCATTTTATATTAAGCTTTTAAGTAGAGGTTCTTGGTTAAAACATTTATTTAGTAGAAGACATACACATAGTCTCAGTGAGCCTCTGTCCTGGTAAAAGGTCAGAAGTGCAACAGGTGAATTGAGAAAGAGCATGTGAGGTCGTGACACACACACATGAGTTAAATTTATTTAGAGGAGAGATTAGTCATGTCTGGTTGTAACTGCAAAAGTGTCTCGGTAAAAGAGGAACCGTCCTTGTTGTCTCGGCAAGAAAGAGGAACAATTTACTTTAAGACAAGAACGGAAAGTACCAGCCATGAAAATAGAAGATGATCTTCTGGGTGAAAAGCCATTGTTGGTGTTGATCTATGTATAAAATGTATCTGTGACGCATGAAGGGGCGTCAGTAAATCAAACCCTGATGCTATAAAATATCTGTTCATGCTTTGATTAAGTCGAGGACTACTGGCTGTCTGCGTACAGAGTGTCTTCCCACACGTGTGTTCATTAAAATCATTGTTGGACCAAGACCTTCTGGACCATGAGTGGTTTGTACTCTCCCTCCTCAATTTTGAACCTTAACAACAGTTACACATGAGAACTTTGATTGCCTGTATACATCACTGCAGCAATGCATTCGTAACAAATAAATCGAGTACTGACTCATACTAAACCATAAAACACCATGTAAGCACACTAGTACT